ACAACCTCGCTCTCCGCTTGCCCATTCCAATGGTCGGATCCGCATTAAGCATCGAACCGTTTCCCGCGCACTCCCTAGGTAGAGAAGGCCACTCTACCTCCCAGAGTAGTGGGGCTTCCCTAGCGTAGAAACTACCGGATCCGCTCCGGCCGCGGTTTTGTTTAAAGTGGAATTGCTAAACACCCCCTAGAGGAGTCCGCCTACGGTAAAAGCCTCCAATCGAGCTCAGCCTACACCTACGTGTAAAGCATACTCGAGTAGGAGCAACCGATTCACTACCCGTTCCCATCCGCCACTACTCACGCCTTTGAGGGACTTTTCAGCATAATCATAGCGTCCTCAACGCTTATACGCTGCCGTCCGATCCGCCGTATCCCGTGAGGCCGGGTGTATAACGGTAGTCATACACAAGTTTCGTGCGAAGGACACAGGTAGAAGTGGTCACCTCTTCTCTAAGTTCCGGCCAGAGGCGTCACCACGAACCACTACGAATCCATTACCAGTGTAACAGGAGCTGAATTTTGGAACATTTCTGTTGCCCCGTAGTACAGATGGTTATGCACCCTCACCGTCTATGCAGACAGGATCTGATACCCTAACCCCGACACGACTACAGCTTGTGCTTTAGAGAGGTTGCCACGCCCTCAGGGCTGCACCATTATTTTGCGCCCGGACACCCCCCTTGTAAACAAGGGTTGGGAGGGGTCATAGGAAACAATGACGGAACCTGGATTGAGAGAGGGACGTGGATGAGGACACGAGGTGCACCTTTTCAGGACGCCGAGCCTTAACCACATTATACCACCCGTCGTCGCTGTAGTTCCACATTGTTCAGGACGCGTGGCTGCATTTGACAGGATCTCGTTACAAGTGGAGGTGCTAGGCGAAAATGGCGTTAAGAGGTAACTTATATCTAACTGGCTGAAGACATGTTCGACCATCGTGGTATATAAGCTTGGGCACACGAAATGGTAAGCGTTAAATTCTGTGAAAGAGAGTTAAACATAAATCATATCACGTTCGTTGGTTGGTGCAACTACATGCACGAAGTCTCTGTGAATTCTATTTTGCGCAGACGTTCGCGCACTGGTGGCCTGTGCATTGTGGAAATTGATGAATTGCTGTTTTCGCGCTGGAAAAACAAAACCGGCAGAATCTTACAGTAGTGGGTTTTTGGTGGCATTTGACGCGAAACGAGAGAAAGTTTTCTAGTCGCCGGACAGATCATCCGCCACTCTCATCCCCATAATTCGTGATCGGATCATTGCTGGGTCTATCATCATCGGTGAAAGGCCGAAACATCCCAGGATCCCAGTTTCCGCCATATGACAGTGAACCATTCTCTCAATCTTGTCGACCCGACCACCCGTGCACATAGTCCATTGAAAGTGTTTGTGCAAAAGCAAAGACGAGGAACAAATGTGGTTTATTGGACTTTTATTTATGCAAATTTATGTGGCGGAGTCATGTACGGCAAGAAATGTGGATGTTTTCGAAGACATCCTTAGTGAAATAGTTAAATTTTGGCCCCCAGGGACTCAAATACCAATTTATACTCTTAATTATTATTACACGAATTGCCTAAAATGAAATGTTTCAGTATTTGTGATTTCCTTTAAAGGAGCATTTCCTAAGTGACCGGAGAGAGATCTTAGCGGTCGAGTAAGACGGAGGCACATTAACGGAAAAGGTCCAATTATTGTATGAAATATCTCTGCCCTCAATAGTGGTACATCCAAAATATTCTTTATTTAAAATTTATAAAGTATCAATTAACAGCAACTTTAACCATGTTTTACTATTATAAAAGTTACAGCCTCATACAATAGGAACCTTGGTAAAATTCGCTTCAATTAACATATTTCATGTTTATCGATACGACAAATTGGGTTTAAAGTAAAATTGGCAAGCATCGATTTTCTCCTCGCCCTTGGGTACGCAAAGCCAGAAGTCATACAATAAATTTCCTATATAAATAGTTTTGTATCACACCTAAAAAAGAAAAATCCTTATACTTTTTACGCCATTAGTACGGAAAAAAAATACTAAAGTGAGAAAAATAAAAACGGTCAAATGATAAACATCTCTCAGATTAGGATATATCAGATTGGATCAGGTCTATTTGGCTAAAAGTTCCTGACGATATGTACCATTTGAATGAGGCCGTGACATCAAAAGCAAAGTAAAATTTATCATAAACCCAGATCAACATAACAACGTAATGATATCGATTATGCCTACGATTCAATTAACACATATGTTTATTATGTTGTGATAAGTATAAAAATATATTATCATAGATTTTATTTATCTTTTTTTATTCTTTAAAAACCTTACGCTGTTCGGTTTAACTCAATGATACCTAATTTTATTTTACTTTTCTGACACAGGAAATTTTAGATTGACTACAATGTGCATAATCATACGCAAAGTTTTCCTTTTTTGTCTGTTTAGAATTTGATACAATATTTTTATTCTACTACCATTTATTAATTTCAATAAGTGTGAAGTGTTTACTTTTGTAGAAGTTAGATGTTTCATATGCATGTAAAAATTATTTCAGTTTAATTTTCATTACTTAAAAATCATATGGATTGTGAGGGAAATTAGCCTCTAAGGACGACTGTAGATTGTATTTTCTGGAAAGATTTCAACAAATGATTTTAATGATGATAATTTAATAGTTTAAAGTCAAAGCGTTTTTTTTAATAAAATCAAATTTACTTCTACATGAGAATTTCTCTTTTGAATTTTTTCTCGGATAATTCGATAAAGCGTTTTCTCCAAATATCAAGTATAAAAAGACCTAAGGCAAAATGGATTTACATGTTGTTATACGTTACAGGGAAGAATATCCACGGAATTGAATTTTCTGAGCGAGTATATAGATGTTTAGAGTATAAACAAAATTTTTACGAGCACATACTTTCTTTAGACGAATCTTTCATTATAATTACACAATGATGAACAACAGCCAAAACCTGATTTTCAATAAAGTTAAAACAAACAAATATTCCCTTCCAGAAAGCAGGAATATAAGAATGGTCATTATCAACTTATGGCTTCTTTTTCTTTTCTTTTTTTAAATCATTAGATTGCATATATTAAAATATTTATTAAATTGTCAAGGTAAACATTAAGTACAAGCCCGTTTTTCAATATAATAATTTATTTGTACCCTTAACATATCAAAATACACATTAGAAATATGTTCTTCTCCCAAACAACACTGGTACCATGGCCGGCAGAGGGCTTAGCCTTAGACAGTAGGGTTAGATTGTTGGTTGTTGGATCGAGAACGTGATTTGTAACTTTTGGAAAAGGGGTTGGATATGTTCGTTGAGAAAAAGAATGTTGAGGTCGTTTTGAATCGTGAGGTTAGTGATGTAGTAAGAAGCTCTGACAATTTGTCTGTGGCCTTTCCATTAGAAAAATTGAATGTGCTTGATAATGGATGGATTGGCAAAAACCCCACAGTTCCATTTCTTATCTCGACAATGTTAGCGGTAATTTCTTGTTTAGAATTACTTCAGTTTTGACGGTGAAAACAGACCTCCTAAAATCCATCATATGCTTTGTTTAAACCTTCTGCCTCTTAAGTGTAGTTCGTCGTCAGCATGTCATCTGTTAGTACTAATTATCTGACCTTAGAGAATGTCGGTGTTTTATTGTTGTTGATGTGCTTTTTTAAAAAGTTTTTCAATGTAAATGTACATTGGGTATATCTTTCCCGCAGTCTTTTCCTCCACTTTTTCCACCAAACTTTAAGTATTCTTTGATGTTGAAGGTTGCATGAACAGGATTCAGGTTACAAGATAAAATTGTTGTACCAGCAGGTTACAGCTGGTAAAGACGGTGTTGAGATGTATAGGAAATGGTAAAAAGGATGGGACCAAGAATGCTTCCTGGTGGGACGCCGGTTTGATATCTGAATATTTGTAGTCGCACCGTATTCTGAAGAAACGGACATTAAAAATAACGAAGGAGTAGGAAGGTTTAAGTTTATAGAGGATACAAGTTCTAGCACACTTAAATACCGGATTCCAGGTGAAACCGTTTTCTAATTACAAAATTGTATGTACTTTTTTACAAATTTCATAAATTGAATGCAAAATTTTCATCAACATCACTACAATACCCAAAAATTATATCTTGAATGTTTTACCTTAGCAGTCACAAGTCGATAAAAAAACATTTGAATTAACGTTACCCAGCCTGCATTTAAAATATAAAATAATATCATTAGTTATTGAGTGAACGCTCATTTATGACCCACACAGTCCCTTTACAAAATTTATGTTTATTAAATAAAAGTATGTAATAAAGTTAGTAAAACAAAGTTCAAAGAAATGTCGCTATTTTTAACAACTTTTTAATAACAAGTACGCTTTCATATAACATATCAAACCCAGGAATTTACGGTATGTACTAATCCTCAATAATTAAACATGAAATACATATTAGACTTAATTACGACGAAAAAAAAAAATTTAAGGTTATATCTTGTTAAAATATGCCCAAGTCTGCTCTTTCAACCCTCAGTGAAAAAAATTATGACAATAATGTTCCTTTATCTTCCCATCAGTTTTAATTATTGTAAAACTAATATTTTTTTGTTTTAAATTTCAAAACATTTTATAGCATCCGTGATTTCGGCAAAACGGAAAGGCTATTTAAAATGAATTGATTCCTTCATTCTATTTTTGCAAGCAGAAGACCAGCTGGTGGTGTTAAACATAAAATGTTTATTTGAAAAACCCATCCAACGTCCTATTTTTGTACAGTTTTGTCGGTTACAACAGAAATAGAATAATAGATTTATTTCCACCAGAAAAAAGTCTAATTTAGAAAACCATAAAAGCCTGTCTCAAATAGAAACTAATTAACTCTACATTCCTTTAAACATTTGTAAAAATAAAAGAAACAAATTGTTTAGATTATCAATATCATCGTTACTGGAAAATCTTAAATTTACTTATGTTTTTAAATATATGTTTCAGTAAAAAATGGAGCAATTCGAGCAACTGCTGACCTGCGCCATTTGTTTGGACAGATACAGAAACCCAAAACTTTTGCCATGCCAACATTCCTTTTGTATGGAGCCGTGCATGGACGGTTTGGTGGACTACGTCAGAAGACAGGTAACCTAAAATGAAATAGTAATAAAAATAAAAGTAAACAATGTGAAATGTGTGATACTTTTTATCCAGGTGAAATGCCCCGAATGCAGGGCAGAACACAGGATCCCTTATCAAGGAGTTCAGGGTTACCCAACGAACGTGACCCTCCAGCGATTTCTGGAGCTTCACATCGAAATCACTGGAGAAATGCCAGATCCCACCAGGTGGGCGTAACAAATATATCCTTTTACGAAAATAATCCCACGTTTCTATTATTAGCTTATTTCAATTTAGCCTGTACATTCTTCAAAAACTGACCTATTCTGTATGATTTGCGCGGAGTAAAAAAATTTTATTTTAAAATTAAAATAATTTTCCGCGCAAAGAATTACCCCGAACTTTACTTTCAACACTTGAGCTATAAATCAGAGAAAAATGTACAAATACAATACAATTGCATATATATGATTATAACTAGTAGTGATTATAACTTTTGACAATGCCCCATTTTAATGTCAGAGTCATGGAACGATATGATTTACAAACGCGGGAAAACGTATTGCGAATAGCAAGTCGATAGCAAGCAAACCGCTGTCTCCACTGCTCATAAACTCATATGTGATAGATGTTTTAAGGAGGATCAAGTCCATGAAATCAAATATCTAGGCCTGATCGTCTATCGTTTAAAATGATACTCTCTTATTAACCTAGTACTCAAAACTTAACCATGGTTCAAGATATGTTTATTTTCGACGCAACGAATGTAACACCTCTCTTCTACTTAAAATTTATTACCCCCATACAATCACAAATTCGACATGTCTTAATATGCTGGGAGGAGTGCTTGTGAAAATGTAAAAAAATAACTGCCTATAGAAAAAAATTATTCATGTATGTCTTTTGAATACAAATTGGAACACTCTCTGCCAATCTTCCTCACATATCACATTTTACCTACCATACCTTTACCTTTTTCGATCCATGGGGTTGTTTTTTAATGGAGGTGGAAATTATATCGACAAATATAAAAAAATTAAATATGATACGAGTTGTCCTATAAATAGCGTTTTGCCCTAACCAAAATTAACAGTTAAAAGATAGTTATGGGTTCAAATCCCGCTCGTGACAATAACTTTTCCATCTCAACCAATACCTTACATAAAAGGAATAATTAATTGAAATAAGTAATTTGGTCAATTAGACCACTAAACATAAATGGGTTAACATTTATGTTGAATTGTTTTCAGTACATAGGCCCTAAAGTGGTTCCATTTGATACCTAATGAGATCAAATGTAAATCCCAAAACATTTTCTTAAAAAAGTGCTGGTAATTTGAGTATATGGCTAAAAAATTAGTACCTAACTATTTAAAAAGGAAAATTCTTAGTTTTTCGTGGATGTTTAATCTATTCTTACAAATTGTAACTTTTTTTTTCTCTCCACGTTTAGTAATGTCGTATTCCCCATTCACTAATTTTCCCCTCAACTCTTCGTTTGTTTACAATAATGTTTAAATAGGATCTACCTCAAGGAGGCTTATAGAACCAACTTTTTTTTATAAAAACATATATGGTTTGCTTTCGTACTAGGAAATTTGTAATTGTAATTGTATTTGGAAAATTGTAATTGTATCATTTTTCTGTACTATGTGTTAGCTTAATAAAGTTTTGTTTTCTCATGCCGTTATGAGTCATTTTAGAGTTCCATCCTGGCTAACTACAGGGATAGATAATTGGATACAACATGGGTACCGCTTTGACAATAGTGCACAATGATATGTCGATGATCTGGCGGTTCTCCTTCTGAAAAATTGAAAGGTCCAGTCATTCTTCTGATGTAGGTTTGTTAAATCTACGCATACCCATCGGTACACTACCAACAAAATGCAAATTCAAGTTAAAACTTTCGTCTTGCAATGATTCACCTGCAGTCCTATATGATTTAGCATAATGTCTTTTGGCCAAAATCTGCGAGGTCTAGTTTTTGTTTTTCTGGCGTCTATCTCACATGAATCAGTGATTCTGTCTTTGTATTTTAAAACAGTAAGGTCCCAAAATTGTAATTTTTTCCTTATGGCATAAAAAAGAGTCAAATACAATTGCGCTGTTGTAATTCCGTTCATAAAATTTGAACAATTAAAGAATAGTTCCTTCGACTCCAAACTGATTTGTGGTTCTGGGAGTGAAATAAAGCCATTGTGGCAGTTATAGTTACAGTACTTTCCAGCATTAAAAAAACAAACAGTAAAAGATACACATTAATACGCATTTCAATTCCAGCGCTGGCCCCATCCATCATTTTAATTACTTATTTATCGTTCTCACGATAAATAATTTAATTCAATTTTTCGAATCAATTTGAGGTCAGGGCTTTCGTTTAAGCCATTAAGAGCGAAAATCCATGGAGCGGTTTGGCCGTAATTTTATCGACGTTTCGAGCATTCACAATTATATATAAATTCTTTTCAAATAATTAATCTTTAATTGAGATTTTTTTGGTTAAGATAAAAAAGTCAGTGTCACGAGCGGGATTCGAACCCACTGTCTTCGGCTAAATTCGTCGCTGCTCTACCACTTGAGCTATCGTGACTTCGATTCACTCGGACTCCAACATCCCATCTCACCCCACCTTTGTCGCAGAGAATAAAATAGATTATACGACATTTGAAAAATTGAAAAAAGGAGGGAAAATTCAAAAGGTGGGGTTGAGATGGGAAGTTGGAGTCCGAGTGAATCGAAGTCACGATAGCTCAAGTGGTAGAGCAGCGGCTTATTTAGCCGAAGGTCGTGGGTTCGAATCCCGCTCGTGACACTGACTTTTTTTATCTCAAACCAAAAAACCTTAATTAAAGATTAATTAATTGAAAAGAATTTATTTGGTCAATCGGACCATGAAACCTAATATATATAAAGTCCCACTAGGAAATTTATTTATCATGAAAATTATACTTCATTATTTAATAAAATAAAACAAAATACATACAGAATAAACGAATGAATTACGGCTTTTAATAATACGTTTAACATAAATCTTACGTTTGATTCGAGTTTCACAAACAAAACATTAGGGCATGTTTCAACGAATTGCCATCAAACAATATTTATCGAGTTTTATTGTGTGCTGTTGTCTAAAAGTTGGTGAAATGTCAGTCTGATCGGATGCGCGTTTCCTTTTTTCGGACAAGGCTCGTCCAAAAGTTAACAAATAATCAGTAACTATCAGCCTTGTGATAAAATGAGTCAATCATACCATCACCATTATTTAAGTTGTAAAGGCATGGCCTCTGTTCCTTGAAAAGCTGTCAGATTTAAGTACTTTAAAAATTAACAACACTTAAAAGTTTACTTATCAAGTCTCATTGAATTTTTGAATGAATAAATTTAATTTGCGAAAGTTTAAAACAACTTCAACACTTTTAAAGTTTGAAAAGTTAAGACGTTTTATTAGGGCATGTCTTAATTCTCCATCCAGTTTTTCATTGTCAAAATTAACATTTCAAAAAAATTATACTAGTTGAAAATTTTAATCTGCCTGACTTTTATTAAACAGTTTGTTCAAATTTGAAAAGTCGAGAATTATTTTTGTTTATATGTTTAGCAATCATAACTGAACGTATTAATTATTTCAATTAATTGTACTTCTTATCTAAGGTCTGAGTTGAAATGAAAAAGTTAGTGTCTCGAGCGAGATTCGAACCTTAATACTAACGAACACTACTTTTTCATCCCAACCAAGACCATACATAAAAAGTATAATATTTGTTCATGTTTTAATTAATCCATTATATTTCGTGATCCGATTGACCAAATAACTTCTTTCAATTAATTAATCTTTATGTAAGATATTGGTTGAAATAAAAAAGCCAGTGTCACGAGCGGGATTCGAACCCACGACCTTCGGCTAAATACGCCGCTACTCTACCAATTGAGCTATAGCGACTTCGATCCACTCGGACGAGACAGCTCATTGACGTGTTTAGGTCAATCGGATCACGAAATATTATGGATTTAATAAGTAAAACGAAGTATATCTTCACTAAAGCTCTCCGTGGCCATTTCGCCGAGAATCGAATCTTGATTACACGACATTGGCAAAAAGTAGGAAAACAGTAGGGAAGCGAACCCTCGTTTAAAAAAAAAAGCTGCTTCTTGGAGGATCATATTTAGTATACATTTATGATAGTTAAATTCACTAATTTCGTGGTCCGCTTGACCAATTAATACATTCCATTTAATTAAGATTGAGTTTAATTACACGACTTTTGAAAAATGGAAAAAAGGAGGGAAAATTCAAATGGTAGGTTGATCTGGAAAGTTGATGTCAAGGTGGTTCGAGCTCAAGATAGCACAAGTGGTAGAATAGCGGCGTATTTAGCTGCAAGTCGTGGGTTCGAATCCCGCTCGTGACACTGGCTTTTTTATTTCAACCAAAACCTTACCTTCGTTAATATATAAAATGTCCATATTTTTTTCAAAATGCAAAGCATAAACCTTTCCATGCCTAAGGACCTTTGTCCTATTAATTGCCCAAAGTAATCCTGAGAAAGTATGTAATTGAGATTTATTTATTGTTTTCTTGATAGTGGTCAGGTAATGAAAAGATGTGGCGTCTGCACGGAGAAAGCGTACTGCCTGCATTGTAGCCACTGCAGCAAAGATGTCTGCCCGCAGTGTAAAGCCGCGCACATGGACATTCTTAGAAGAGAAATATCGAGAATTAACAACCAGGTATGGTGTCATCAGACCTAATATCAAAAATAAAATAAAAAGGACTTTAATGTTTAATATCAAAACAGGTTCGAAGAGCGTTACACAGATTGGAAGATATTCTCGCCATGGTTGACAAAAACTGCCAAGCGTTGCAGCTCAACTGCACCTCGGTGTCCGAAGAAGTCGATGAAATTTACAGAAGGTTGTCCAAAGCGTTGAAAGACCGTACTGACTACTTGCGGGGCGAAATCGACAGATACCTCTGCGTCGAGCTCAGGAACCTGAACACGCTCAAGGACAATCTCGAACAGGAGATAACCAACATCAACAGCAACTGTGATTTAGCCGATAAGCACATGCAGTCCGAGGACGTCGAGTGGGAGGACCTGGAGCTGCTAGACACCAAGGATATCTTCCTCAAGACGGTCGATTTTATCCGAAACTTTGAGGCCGAGATGGGCGATTACGCTCGTAGAGTACGGTTCTCGATGACCCATGACCCGAACCAGCTCGTCATGCACGTCAGCACCTTCGGAGACCTCAACATCAGCATGCCTCACCAGTTCACATGCTCATCCCAGCAGGTAGTTTCTAGTTTCTAAAACAGCTTTCAATTGGCTAAAAATAATTTTGCTTGCATTCTCACGTGTGAACGTGCATTTGTACACTGACCCATAATAAAAATTTTGTCCGTAACATCTTGTTTAGTTCATGGAATCATAAGTAGACTATAATACCAGGTAGACAATTTGCTTGCTTGTTCAATTGTTCGTTAATAGCTTATAAAACTTTTCTGTGCTACATTTTTGTACATATTTAAAATAATTGTGATTCTCATCCCTTGGTAATGTAGTATGTCCAGCGAGCGACGAGTACCACCTACATATATATACTTATTAGTTATGACATTTTCATTCTTAATCATCCTATGTTTGTCGAATATGAATGTCCGAGATTTTGCTTACCGCTTGCTTATTAGTTTAAGTTAATTTGAATAATATTTTAACGGACAGACGCAACAGGGACCAGGACTGATGAGGTCGAAAAGCGATCACAGGTTGGCCGCCCAATACCGTCAGCAAGACGAGCGGTACGACAGGGAAGAAGGAGGAAGAGTCTCTCCGCTCAACGGTAGAAAATTTGGCGAAAGGTAAATTATAATTTAATCTTTTTATTCATTCTTGTGAAATTAATAGGTAAAAGTCATTCTTGCAAATAGTTAAAAAGTCTAACACGAGGAAATCCCATTGACTGTTGGAAAGAAAAAATATTATGATTATGATTTCTTTTCTTCGAATATTTTAATATTTATGATTGGGGGCGTCTGTGGCCACGACGGTTTAGGCGTTGCCACGGCGCTCATCACTGTAAGGTAAAGGTCCCGGGTTCGAATCCAGCGGCCCTGCATTCGAACCCGACATACATACAAATGGGCTTATTTTTTCAAAAACAGCGGCACCCCGAGGGGTTGATAACCTCTGCTGGTGCGAACAATATATATNATATATATATATATGATTCACCAAGTCGTTAATTAAGTTAACCATACCACCTGATGTGCTTTTAGGGCTTTTATTCAGTGTATTGCGAAACCAAATAACTTCATTTGGTAAAGTAAGGTATGTAAAACCCGTCCTTTAAAAAATGTCGTTTCCAGCTGCGCCGAGCACAAAGAGGGATCCAAAACGAAAAGTCGCCTTTTTCACCCTCCGGTGTTCCACATGTTTCCAAATGTCCAAGAAACATACAGAATATATTAGCTAAGGGAGTTTTTCCGACTATTTCTCATCAATGCAATATAATAAAAAAATTTATTTAAATAAATGTTCTTTTCAAAAACATCGAATTATTAACAACAAACTTATCGTGTCTTTGAAATAATTGGAGAGTTTGCAGAGTTGCTTGCTAGAACATCTGTCAGCAGATCGACCGACTGTCATTTATACTTTGGTGCCATATCTCGTTGAAGTCTGATTATCATTTTTTCATCGTTCGTGACCTCGTGATTGAAAAATTTTAACCTTTTCTTATGGCTTTTTAAATTTTCCAAACTTTTCTTTACGTTTGAATTAGAAAAGGTATCAGCATTATATTTCATTTGGACATTTATTCTTGCGGTAGGCCAAGTGGTGAACCTTAGTTATAGGTCATTTTGGTTTGCCTATGCCCGCTGGTTTGGTCTGTCAGACGCGTCTCTGATCAAGGATAAAAGCGGGGTAGACACACAATGTCACTGTTGATGGCGAGAAGCCAAAACACGCCTATCTAAAACAGCGACAATGGGCAGACCAACAAGGTTGGACGCGTTTCTGCGTTTCGCCAACTTCTGTGCTTGGTTTGGTCGCATGCCTCTCCCTGTTTATAATCTTCACTGTAGAAGTGGACCAACGAATGGTTTCATCACTGATACACTTCTACAATTAAGAATTATTGGTCGATTTAGTACAATCTTAATGCCCGGGAGGAATCTGCTTTCCTACATAAAAATGAAAATGACATTTTGAAATGTTCTAAAGTGATGAATTCAAAATTCTAGATAAAGGCTTTCTATTCAACAAAATTCAGTTTTAGTCATATTTCTTGTCTTTCTATGACTGAAACTGAAGTTTTTTGTCATAATTTCAAAACTTCAACTATTGTAAATTAATGATTATTTGGAAATCGTGAGATGCGGTCTGGTGTGTGGTTTTAGAAAAACATTTTCTTTATCGTGCGAACGTTTCGATCTTTATTGAGATCATTTTCCGAACAACAGTTTGAGCACTGAAGATGATCTCAATAAAGACTGAAACGTAGGCACGATAAAGAAAATGTTTTTCTAAAACCTACTTCACACCAGATCGCATCTCACGATCTCCAAATAATCATAACCTAACGTTCACTAAACACTACACATTGTAAATTAAATTTGACAGATTTCTTAAAACGGGTATATCTGTAAAATTTAAAAAAAACATGCAAAAATATTACGTTATTGCGAAATGTTAATGAAAATTGAAGTTTTATCAATTGAAAAATATTCATGATGTAATAAGCCAAAAATCCCATACTTTACCTTTTGAAAAACTAAATTTTTACAATTGTTCACCTAAAATTCAGGGAGTGGTCTGTTTAATTTAACTTGCATCAGCCGTCTGGCCATTTCTTATCATACTGCTCCGCCTATTCTCTCTCAACGAATTAATTAAACTTGCAAAGACCTAACCACTCCCTAATTAACTATTTCTGCCCAAACACTCTAAACCGGATGTTATTTAATTTTCACCGGTCTCTTTGAAAAGAAGGAATGCGAGAGTCAGCACACATAAACGAACACAGCGAAATGTTAATAACAAAGCATTCAGCTAGAACAGGATGACCCAGATGACATGAAATGAACTGCCCTCGTATTCATTTATTTAATCTTTATATCCGTGCATGGTTAAATATCACATGTTTTAATGTTTGGTTATAATATTAATAAGTTGATACGTCTACTCCCTGTTGGACATAGCCTAATAAGGTGTTTTGTCATTTAAAAGCAACTTTTCGTATCGATTATCCATGACAGGCAAAAAATTCCACCCACTTGTAATATAACTTGATCTCTATATATTTTTATGTATTAATCAAAGTCTTTCTTCGATCTTTTTTACCGTTTAATAATTGAGTCTTTGTCTAAAAAGGTAAAAAAAAAAGTAAATGGCTATGCAAAATGAAAAAAAGACGGACAGATAAAATTTGTTTTAGAATTTTAATTAACATTTCAATATCGCCTATTTCCCCCTCTTACCTTAATTACATCTCGAAGACGCCTCGGCATACTTTCTAACAGCCTGGAAATGTCTCTTTACTGGAGGTTAGCTCATTCTTCACGAAGAGACCTTTCAAGATCGTGTTCATATTCGTTTTTTGAGGTTATCCCATAAATGTTCGATGGGGTTCAAGTCTGCAGAACAGGCTGGCCAGACTAAGACCCTGATGTTATGCTGTTGCAGATATGTTTGTACTATGCGAGCGACATGTGGACAGGCACTGTTGTGTATTAGAATAGTCGCTGATTTCATCGAGGATAGGCAACGCATGATGGTCCAAAATTTCATCCTCCACATAGCGAGTGGCCGTCAAAGACCCTCCACGAACTTCAACCAACTCTGTGCGACTCTCCTATTAAAATTTCCGCCCACACCATCACTGAGCTAACGTTGAAAACGTTAGCTCTGGGAAAAATTACAAGTTTCGTACCTTTCAATTCGCTGGATTCAATTGGAGATCGTAGAGCAAATCTACCTCATCTGCAAAACGTACAGCAGACCAATCGTCCAAAGACCAATGGCAGTGCTCTCGAGCAAATGCGAGCCATACAACTCTGTGTGTTCTCGTCAATTCTGGTTCTCTAACGGGGCGAAAAGTCATCAATCCATACTGATTTAATCTTCTTCGACACCTCGAACTTCCTGGAGTCGATGAATCGCTTGAACAACAGTAAGGGGCTGTTTTCGCGAAATTCTCAAAAAACGATAATCCTGTGGTTCTCTTACCCTAGGGCCTCCTTCTATGGTAGGCCCCAGTTGCTCGAAAACGTCTAACAGCGTCTCGCAGTGTTTCGTAGGCAACTCCGAAGGCAATAGCCGCATACCTGATGGAACGTCCATCATCAGTAAGTGCCACACCACGCGCAACATCCTCAGCACTAAGTGGCATTTTTAAGTGTTATAACTGATGAATATGAGTTATGGTTCTTATTACTCAAAATTGAATAGTACTCGATTAGCAATGAAATACACATTTTAGCCTATGGCATGGCAATGATAGTCAACGAAGTGTCCATGTCTTAAATGCTTCGTCTGTTTTAACACAATATTCTATTAAGGCGATTTTTCTAATCATACTCTGTAGCATATCTAATGATTTTCTTACAAGGCAATGGCACATTCCAGATACACTCGCCGGCCGGAAAGAGACTACGATTACGACACGTACGAGGAGAACAGGCCGGCCAGGTCCAAGTTCAGGTCCAGGTTCCGCCACGGCGGTGAAAATACTGACTCGGACAACGACACCGGAGGCGGCGGAAGATCAGTCAGATTCACCGAAACCGCCAAAGAGAGGGAAAAGGTCTTCGATACGGAAGACGTCGCTAAAGGTCCGCTCAGCGGCATATCTCGACTTTACGATTCACCCTTGGTCATGAAAAGACTGAAAGACTCGGAGGTGAAGAAGGACAAACCGGAGCCACCTGAACAGCCGGTTGTCCAGCCTCCCAAGTTCCAGCCTCCAAAAAGGCCGACCCAACGTAATTATTTTGTCTATTTATTTTTCTGTATCTACTTGCTTTTACTATTTTCTTATTTGATCTATTTAATCGTAACGTTCTATATAATATGTTTCCACAATTTTAAATAAAACCTTACAATGTCGTACATAACAGCCCTTATTAATGTTTGTTTTATTTGTAAATAAACTACTAACTAATTAAAGTAAAACTCTCTGAATTCCATTCCTGCAATTCTATTACCAGCATAGCAATTTTAACCAAATCGTCTGACCATCTCTACCACCAGTATTTGTTTTTTAAATTCTTTCTATCCTGTGTAAATTCAAAGGCATCCTCCCTAACCTACTACCATATCCTAAAGTCGTTGCCGAGCATAATTCTGTGTAACATAAAGTTCTTCCCATTCACCCATCCATCGCGTCTATGCAGGAATCCCCCCAGGTAGTGTTCTTGGCCCGATCCTTTACATAAAATGTACTTTCAATCAATTAATAATTCTTTCTAAGATTTGGTTGAGATAAAAAGTCAGTGTCACGAACAGGATTCGAACTCATGACCTTGGGCTAAATACGCCGTTGCTCTATCACTTGAGCTATCGTTACTTCGATCCTCTCGGACACCAACTCTCCATCTCAACCTACAACCTTTTGAAAAATGAAAATGGCAAAAAGAGGGAAAATTCGAAGGGTAGGTTGAAGTGGGAAGTTGGTGTCCGAGAGGATCGAAGTCACAATACCTCAAGTGGGAGAGCAGAGACGTATTTAGCCGAAGGCCGTGGGTTCGAATCCCGCTCGTGACACTGACTTTTTATCTCAACCAAGACCTTAGAAAGAACAATTAATTGACTGAAAGAAGTAACTTAGTCAATTGACTACGAAAACGTAAATGGATTAATATTTAAAAAGTAAAAGAAGTATCACTTCACGAAATAGCTCCCCGTGGCCACTTCATAAGTCGCTGAGAATCCAATCCGATTGCACGACATTTGAAAATGGCAAAAAGGGGAAAAATTCGAACGCTTGTAGGTTGAGATGGAGAGTTGGTGTTTGAGAGGATCGAAGTCACCATAGCTCAAGTGGTAGAGTAGCGGCGTATTTATCCGAAGATCGTGGGTTCAAATCCCGCTCGTGACACTGACTTTTTATCTCAACCAAGACCTTAGAAAGAATAATTAATTGATTGAAAGAAGTAACTTAGTCAATTGACTACGAAAACGTAAATGGATTAATAACAATATATACTGCTGACATACCTAATCACCCAAACTTCCTTGTTCACGTTTGCAGATGATACTGGAATTCTGTTCATTCACAATGATCCTGTCCTTGCCGTTCGTTCCCTTCAGTCTCATCTTACCATCCTTAATCCTTGGCTGAAGAAGTGTAGGATAAAAAGAAATACCATAATTTCACATTAGGACGAGCAATCCTTCCTCCCAAATACCTCAACCGTGTTCCTCTGCCCACAACAAACCGTTCACTACTTAGAACTGAACATCAACAAACACTCACGTGGAATCCCACTTAAAACGACAAGTACTGAGTAGATTATTCAAATTTCTTTCTCGACTCTTAGACAGACGACTCAAGCTATTCCTTAACAAGAAAAAAGCTAATCTACACCACATTGCTCAAACTGAATGGACTTACTGTATAGAAATATTGGGCTCAGCCAGAGTATCCAACTTCTATCGAATCCAATCCTTCCAGTCCAATACGCTCCGTTGTATTACCAATGATCTTTTCGATGTTTCTAGTTGTACCTTTCACCTTGATCTCAACATCCCTTATGTTTCCCATGCCATCAAATTAAGGTACAACAAATTCCACTTCTTACTCACTGGTCTTGCCAATCCCTAAGCAACCCAAATTTCCTCTATGACACTTCTCGATACTCCACACTACCAACTGAAAGAAAATGGCCTCATGAATTCAACTCCAGTGATAGCAAGTGACAAGGTTCACCTACATCGGAGTGTCACTACTGTGTGACTTCTTCGCTTGTGATGATACAAGTCAATTATTCTCTATCGCCATAGTTGTAGTTAATTACACAGTTGTAAATCCCAAATAAAAGAAAAAAAGTATTTCCAATTGGAGCGAAAAATCATTTTTATTTATCTTCTTTAAGTAGGTTTTTAGGATCCTAAAGCATCCACTTTTGTGTAGTACAGTAATCAGTTCAATCCCAACTTATAACTTTTGTTTTCAATTTATTTGTACTTGATGTCCCACACAATTCTTCACTAGAAGAGATGTAAGTTTGCGATTTTCTTCACAAGCAATTTGACTTCATCAGTGAAAATAATAAGAAAAACTGGACTAGTATGGCTAGGGTTAGTTAAACCCATTTCTTTCATTGTCAAATCACATTTCAATTTACAATGTCTTTATTAGTTTTGTTGTGTTGTAACCATTACTCCTATAAATACACTAAAAATTTAGTACAGGTTATCTTGTTGTATATCTTGTTGTTTGTAATTTCAATTATTATTTTCTAGCTCCCATTATGTAAAATATGATTGCTTCCCTCTTTTTAATATTATTTGCAATATTACAATAGCAACACTTAGAAAAAATATATCCTTACATATATACTTATATTAAAATAATATTTATTCATATATTATACAAATGGAAAAAAATGTCTCAGTCAAATATTATTTTGGACAAAAATAAAAGTTCGATCATTCTAATTTTTGTTTTATGACATAAGCATAGGAGTGTTGTGCCGTTTTACATGTTGCCAAGAGATGTAATAAACATCGAGCGAGGTGGACTCAACTTTGATGTGGTGGAGTCCCCCTCCCTCCCAAAACCCACGAGAATTACTGGTACAACTTCGAGCAAGTGAGACAGTTTCAAGGCAATTTAAACAGTCAAAAATATATACTAGCACTGCATTAATAGAAATAGTTATAAATGATCAACAAAGACCATGCCAACTGTTCTTGCATAAATGGGCCGATCGTAGACTCAACTTTGACAACAATTATCAACTTTGACATAAGTTTTGAGCCTAGCATGAATAATGATGAAGATAATCATTACTACTTGGTGAAGCCAAGATGTACTTTATGATTTTTAAAACCGGAAAATGAAAATTTTCCATAGCTGCTGCTATAATTTTTTTTCATTCTTACTAGTCTATTAATGCTCAAACTGAAATTTAGGATGCAAGACCATAAGTTGTCTTACCAGGTTTCGTTCTTGAAGCTGACTCACTCAATATTTAGATGAACTTGAAGATAAGATTTATGCTTTAGGGGACATTGCGTGACGTATGTAATGATCTCTGTTATCCTCTCGTCTCAAAGAATATCTTCATTCCATACATGCCAAAGAGCATCAACCATGTCCCTATTTTATAATTTTTATAAAGCAGCTACACCAACAAAAAATAAATATGTTGTATATTTTTTAATGTGTGCTCTCCATTTCAATTTGTATTATAGCATCGTACCCAGATACTTCACGGTGTTTTGTTTCAGTACTATTTTTCCGTTTTCTGATTTTTTTGTTTAATTGCCAAACCTTTTGTCCATCTATCAATTAGATTGCTCATATTTTGCAGTTTTCTTGTCTTTGCTTCAATCCTATTTTCCACTGCTGCAGACTATAAATTCATGATAATTTTATCAAATTGAACTGTTACTCAGCCATAAAAATAACCACCCCTACAATAAAAAATTAGGTTAATGGTAAAGTAAAACTAAAAGTACTAAAGTAAAATTAAACGTGGGTTCAAATCCCGCTTGTGACACTGATTTTTTTATCTAAACTAAAAACCTTAATTAATTAAAAGATTAATGAAATTGGTCAAGCGGACCATGAAAACCAATGAAATTAGTAAAGTAAAACATTTAAAACTTTAAGGATCTTTCAGAAATAATTAATTCAGTAAGGTATCTCAAAATTATTAATGGTCAAAATACAAAAGTCATGATAATTTGTGTAATAAAAGTTGTTTTAATTAATTTATGTGTATTGGATATAAATAATGCCATTTTATTATCCTTTATATAGTATATATCATAATACTTATCAAACTGCTAATCGACCATAAAAACCAAAATTTTAAAATAAAATTTCTGTACTTGTAACTTTCTATTTACCTTTGAACATATTAACTTGAGAGTGTTGCACTTTACAGCGGCACAGAGGCAAGTCAGCGAGGAGGACGAGATCACCAAAATTAAAAAACAGATGAAAAATGCTCCAGGCGAGCCGAGGGAACCTGAAAGACCTGGTGCTGAAAGAGTTCAAGCCCTCAGGCGAGAGGAGGAAAGGACGCCTTCACCTCAGTCCACAAGGAGCAGCCCTGGCTCAGATCCATCGACAAAAGCCACACCTACACAGGTTTGCTGAATAACAACACACCTTAAAAAAAAAAGCTTACCGATCTTTCCTTTCAGGGAGCTGCAGGCGCTTCAAGTTCAGAAGAGTCGGACGACAGCCCGCAAGCATCTCTGGCGCAGAGCTCAGCGCAAAGGAAAACATCGGTGACACGGCTGCCAAGTGTCACGCAATCAGGTTCAAGAAGGTCCTCAGCATCAAGTGATGTATCAACCCCAGCTGCGGGTAAGTTCTAAAATGGTCAGATAAAAAACAAAAATCAGAAATCAGAGTAACAACACAAAAGACTTATTGGCTAAAATAATCTGTAAAAAAGAGTGCCAGAACATAATGATTTAACCACATTTTTTTCTTTTTAAAATAAACAACTCATGTAAATAGTACATTTTTTACATATCACTGTAAAGTAAAATAAAATTTGCATCAACATTTTTATCAATTTTATGCAATAAATATTAAAAAAAAAAAAAAATAACCATCTCTAAAATGATGAGTACAAATAACTTTTCTATGTATAATATAAAGCAGCTTTAGTCTGTAATCAACTGCAATAATAATCAAAATTACTTACATAAAAAATCTTTGACTTAAAGATTTAATATAAAGTAATTTAAATATCACATCAAACATGATTTTGTATTTTTAAATATAAAATTTTAAAATATTGCAATAAGTGATTCCTTTTTTTTTTTTTTTTGTTATACATGTTTCTTAATGTGAAAAAAAAATTAATTTTTTCAAACTATTAATCAAAAATGGAAACACTTATTGAATACTATCTTTTGTATTATATCTATGATGCCATTACTGTCTAAAAGCTTTTTCTTCTCTTGTGAAAATTGTCTACTAATGAAAGGCTGTTGTGAACAACAATACATTTCATGACTAATTATTTTAATATTGTTCTAAAAGAATATTTCCTTTGTGTAATTGACAACTCTACAAAGCTTCACTTAATTCTTAACATATTCTAATACAAATTCACCATTCTTGACAAAAAATCTGTTGTTTTTTTTAATATATTTTTTGTTTTATTCATGGAATTCTTACTGTTTTTACTTCTGTTTTTTACTATTTATACACTTCTTTGCTCAAGCGTTCAATCTGTCACATTAATTGCCATGCACAACAAACAAAAATGTATTTTTCTAACTAATTATTTACTTTTGTGTTATTCTAAAAAAAAATGTCACTTGCGAAATAGTGGAGTAAAAATACCTCATAACACCTAAAAACAATAATGAGCAATACTTTTGTTCTTAAATTTTAATCACTTGACAGAGCTATTTTCAAACAATCTGCATGTTGCACAAAATCATTAACAACACAAATAACCTACACATTAATTTGTATACACAGCAAGGCTCCAGAATATTTCTTTTAATTGCTTAATAAAAACAATATTTACCAACAAAATATTGATTTCATTTAGAATACAACAAGAAGATTAATTGTATTGTGCATGGCTGTCCCAAGAATATAATATAGGCAGGAATTGTCTGTTAACACCACTGTCTCTTGTAACACATTGACTAACTCAAGGCTTAGAAGATGCGAGGCAGATATTTGAAAAAAATCTCAGAAAAAAAAACACATACTCCTATGGTAGGTTTCGTCAAAACGATTCGGTCAGGGAGCATGGATTCAACCGGCTCTGCTGACTCCAGCACAAGGAGCACTGGCGCCGCTTTCACCACCGAAGAGGTCAAGCAGAAGCTGGCAAAAGCGTTGCCCACAGGCCTGCCTACATCCACCAACCCCACACCCACCACTTCCGAACCTCCGCGGTTTCACAGCCGTTTTTTACCAGGAGGTAACTCAAAAAGACAAAACAAACAAATTATACTATCAAATGGGTTAAAGTAGCTATCAACATGTTTCAACTAAAGGGAATAATTATGAGATTTTTCAAAAATGTTGTCTAAAAGTTTAAACAATCATTTCTGTAAATTTAATGTCAATTCAAACCCTAAATATTATATAAAATTTAATTACATGTTTTATTTCAACAGGCACTATTTTATATTTTTTTCATTTTCAATCGAGTTGAACAATGATACCAAGATTAATAAAATACACCATAAATGACTGTTATTTAAAATATAATAAAAATAATATAAAATAAATCCTTCCATACATTATAAACAATTTTAAGTAACAATTTTAAACATGTTCATATATAACATATATCCTGCAACTTACACTTACGTTTTTGCATAACACATAAACTGTTTATAAATATGTCCAAATTTAACAGCCAATTTATTTAAATTGCAGCATGATTTTTTTTTTTAAATTAAATGAGGCATGGCTTTTTCATGGCCCAAGCACAAAGTTTGGAGCAAGTCTTAACATTTTAGCCTTGTTTATAATCTAATTTAAATTATTGTACTTAGGGATGCGACAACTTTATTCTGTATCAGATTTTTTATAATTTAGGTTTTAAAAATATTTATTAATATCAGATCTATTGGTAATTAAAAGCTTTAAAAAAATGTTAATTACATGTATAAACAACAAATAAATACCTTGTCTACACTACATCATATAGTTTTCAAAATCTATTAAAAATTTAAATCTACTGATGGATATCCAAAAAAAAAAAAAAAAAAAAAAAACTTTGTACATGTTCATACATATTTTTGTTATATGCAAAAAAGAACAATGCAGAACTTTTGATGGAAAAAATTATCATTGAAAAAAAACCCTTAATAACACAAAATATTGAGAAGAAACTAGATCTGAAGCAAAAAGTTATAGTGGTCAAATAAAGTATTGAAATTTGCATTTGATCATGTCACATCCTTAAATATATTGGGTTGTCCGGAAAATAATGCAGGATTTTAAGTTTTCATTAAAAAAAATCTATATAAAATATTCTGTTTACGTTTACAGGATTACTCATTTGTANAAATTATTTTGATTAAAGAACATTGCTTTAAAGTAACTAGTTTCTTTTTTTTTGTTTAATACCAAAATCCTGCATTATTTTCCGGACAACCCAATATCAAAAAGAATATTATATATTAATTGTTAAAAGTTAGAATTGACGACAATTCGTTGCTTCATAGGAGGGGGTTGGGTGCCTCACAACCCAAAATTGTAATTCACCAACGCCCCATAGAAGTCGGGGGCGGAAGAACATCTTTATGCCCTCGAATGATCAAACTCAATAACATTAATAAAACAGGTAGAACATAATCAAAAATTTTTCTTTGTAAAAATACCCTATTTTTATAAGTATAACAGGAATTGCCGTGAATAACAATTATTCAGTTTCACTAAAACTTGAACGAGAAATTTTGTAAATATATTTTTTTCTTAATCAAAAACTGGGAGCACCCATGCTGCAATTAAATAATTTGGTTGCTTCTTATTTGACTTTTTTTATTTGTGTTTAGACACTAAAAAAATAGTTTTAGGGTGAGTGATTCTTTTAGAATAATACAAAAGTATATTTATTTTTGTTGACCACAATTCATTCACTAATTATAAATAGTTCAGCCAATTTCAAAATGCAAAAAAAATCCAAAAATCACTAGAATTTTAAATAACAAATAACAAACATCCTCTAACAAATTCACTAAAACATTTAGCGCTTTTAGAGCCCTCCCCTGAAAAATTGCAAAATTTATGCAACAGTCAATGTTTAATTATTTCATTTTAATTTTAAAGATGGTAAGTTTATGTCAATATTAAATATAAATTACCTTTTATACAGTAAATAGTGAAATAAGTAAATATGTTTATCGTCCGACAGTTATGTCGGAATATATACAATAAAAAAAAACCATACTTGTGTTAATTTATTTTTTATTTTTTACAAAAATATAGGTAGTAGAGTAACTGGAGTTAGTAGCACACCAGCTGAGAAAACCACTAAAGAAGAGGAAGAGGAAGAGTCCAGCTCTGAAGAAGAAAGCAGTTCTGAAGAGTCAGAGTCTGAGGAAGAGAGTCCCCCAAAGGCATCGGAGATGGCAAAAACCGACATCGGCCCCCTTCTTGCTCGAAGCGCCCAAGCTAGGAAATCAAGCCGGGATGAATCAAACTCGACCCCTCCGTTAGTATTTTGTTTGATTCTGTTGTTCAGCTCGTAGAAATAATATTAAAGAATAAATTATAGTTCTCGCTATGGAACATCATCCTACGGGTCCACATCCAGAGAAGAACCAACAACTGCACCTTGGAGGACAAGATCTTCTACTACCACTGCTTCCAACAATGATGATGAAACCCCATCTAGGTCTGTTTCCAAACCCACCGGTTTGTTTACCGGTTTCTTGAAATATTTGTGGTGATTTTATTTTTACCAGTTTGATTAATAACAATTTATTTTGGATGATAAATTTTTAATTATAAGCATGAGATATTTGTCAATAACTTAGTTTCAAAGGAACAATTTGTGATTTTGAGAAAAAAGTGAAAGATATTTTATCTACGCTTGTGGTTTGTACATTTATCAAATTTGTATATAATATCAATAAATGCAAGTTCACACATGTCTATGTTTATGTATGAAATAATTTTATGGAGTGACAAGACTAATATTTAAAAAAAAAACTTGATATGATACATTAGACCCTCACAACGTTGCAAACAAATAGAAATTAATTGTTATGTTTTGTCTTCAAAATATTAAATTTGGCATTTGGACTATTGTGCAAAATAATGTAGTGAAACTGATTCAAAATTGGACAACTGCAGCTTCAGAGGGATTAAATTTTCTGCACTTACCATTTCTTCCCATAAGGTAAATTTTATTTTATAATAATGATTCCTTTAACTAGGAAATTATTTTATACAAAGTTTAGCTCATGAGAAATTGGTTCTACAGTTATTATGAGAAGAACTAGGATTTCAGCACTTCATGCAGGTAACATAACATTAACATCATTCACCTTGTACAAAATTGAAAAATATAATTAAATTACAATTTACATCTTTGTGCACTGTAAATCTTGTTTACTGCATGATTATGAATATCTTGTAGAAATAAAGCAGAACTTATTTTCTGTTTTCAAAAAAAAGAAAAAGACAATTTATAAAATCTGTGTTTTGTTATGGAACAATGTATTTTTTTTACTAATTAATTACTAAAGGGTACAAAATATAATCTTAAAAAGGTTATGGGTATGTTGAGAAGGCATAGATGGATATCTTAAATGTATTATTATAAAAAAATCCTACGACAATTGTATTTATTTTTTTTTTTTTTCCTAATGCGCACATTTTTGCAGATATGGACCGAGCGGATTTACCTCAAGGTTTCTAAACAAGAGCAAAAGCACAGCTGCGGTTTCACCTGAAGAGGAAGACCCAGGCCTCACTCGTAGGTTTGGTTCTTCTTCGAGCAGTACAGCGAATCAACCTAGGTCAAGATATACCGCTCTTAAAGTATGCAATTTTTTATTTTATTTTTATTTTTTTGTAATAATTTGTATGATGTCAGGATCGGAAGGCAAGGCTGGCTAGATCTAAATCTACACATAACCTCGGTGAAGATGAAGATGAGGAAGATGTGATAGCAGCCAACTCACCAGCTGCCTACCTAGCCAACAAGTACGGCACCGACCTGACGCGATCCAGATCATCGCATAACATTAAGTCAAGAGAACCCAGTCCTGAACGTTCGACAGCAGGTAAATCTAAATGTGTATTCTCATCATCAAGTATACTGTATACAGAAGCAACATCATCACTTTCAATTCATTGTGAATATTACAGGAAGATTTAATCTGTTGGATTTGTGAGGAGTGGTCAAGAGTGAGGTAGTTTACAAAAATACCTTTTTAATTTTTTTTTTTTTTTTTTAGTCATCTTGAAGCCCTGGGTGAATTACAAAACATTTGTTGATTGGACAAAATAAAATACTTCATACTTTTCTAAACTACCTCATTCTTGACTGCTCCTCACAAATCAAACAAATTATTAAACAACCGATCACTAAAAAACACACATTAAAAATTTGTTATTACTTTTTTTTATATAATAAGGAACAACTTAATGTCACAACTTCTCAAATAATATTTTCTGTATAATAATAATGTAAACTTTCAAATTTCATATTCAGCAACAACAAAAAATGATGAAGTTTCAAGTTTAAGCTTATAAATCATATTACAGTCCTATTCCAAGCAGTTTTACTATCATATCTTATCAGCATAAAACACTGTTACATTATTAGTTCTAAATGACATAGTAATTTAAAAAATTGAGTCCAGATTATCGAATTTCTGGAAGAGAAAGCCGTGCTACGACACCGCTTCGTACTCAGCCAACTGGTAATTCTTGAGGAATATTTTCTTAAATTTTAATTCCAATGGAATGTTTTTACTCGAACTCATATTACTGAAGAGTCTATAGTCTAAATAATATTTTTTTATGACAATATAAGGCATGCGTGCATATCTTAGTAAAAATGATTACATTATTTTTTATGTTATAGATGTAATTATATTCCTTTAATAATTGTCTTCCATGTCCAAACTATAAAATATGCATGTTTTAATTAACTTCTATGTTATAAACATTATTAGACTTTTTATTCCTAATTTGAAACCAAATGCTGTGAAATAAACTAACTTCGTATGATTAGCAAGTTCGATTTTTAGTATGATTTGTCATGTGAGGCAGCATCTTGATTGGTAGATTTGAAAATACTTTTATTTACTATTTTCACTTTTCATTATGATCAGATTACCGTATTTCGGGAAGAGATAGCCGTGCTACGACTCCACTCCGTACTCAGCCTACTGGTAATTTGAAAGATTTTTTTTTTTCATGGCATTATTCACTCAAACTCAACATACAGAAGAGTGAATATTGTACCAATGATTTTTTATAGCAATAATATGGCATGGAAATCTCAATTATATTAATTTTTAAATACTACAATATATCAGTTGTTAAATGAAGAAATTGTATAAATGTGATTAGTTCATTTGCTCATGTTGTTGCATAAAACACATTTTTGTTTGTCATGATTAATTCTTTGAAATTGACAATAATTTTCTGTCAATTACAATTGGATTTTTTTTTTTAATAAAACTATTTTTGGCTGGTTGAAAGACATTTACTTTGTGTCATTATGACCAGATTATTGTATTTCTGGAAGAGAAAATCGTGCTACAACTCCTCTTCACACTTAACCAACCGGTAATCTTTAGGAATTATTGTTTTCCTTGAAATTGAATGTTCATTCACTCAACCTTGACAGACAGAGAGTGAATAGTACAGAGCGATGATTTTTTTTTTCCTATCAATATAGCATGGTATAATGAAACATCTTCTTGAAGCTATTTGCTGACATATTAGTATTTTAGTGTTAAACATTTTTTCACAACTATTTTCTTATTTTGTATGTTGCACATATTCACCATCATCATTTTAAAAAATGCGATTAATCATTGCATACATTTTAAACTACATACTTATGAATGGGATAATTAATTTCATCTTTAATGTTTTGTACATTATTAAATTAAAAACAAACATAACATGTTTAGTTTTGATTTTGGACAGTCTTATGATATGAACAAAAATACAATTGACTGAAGGCAATTGACATTTTTTTTTATCACTTTCTCTCTTTGTATTATGATCAGATTATCGTGTTTCGGGAAGAGAAAGTCGTGCTACAACTCCGCTGCGTACTCAGCCTTCTGGTAATTGCGATGCTTTAATTTGTACTGGCATAACAGCAAAAACTGATCAATATTTTTGTTTTGTCTAATTACAATGCATGCATTGGATAGCAGTTGTAATACTTGTTTAATAGAATTTAATTTTTTTTATGTGTTCATGAAGTTCAAATGATTGAGTGTAGTGCAAATGGATGTCAATAATTTTAATTGACCAGACCCAGATTTGATCTGTGAAATATAAAACAACAATAAAACAGTCTATCTAAGAAAAATAGTATAATCATGAAAAAAACTTGTTTTTTTAATTGCTGTTTTAAAAATTTGTCAAGCTTTTACAATTACCTCAAAATATTTCTCTCTTTGTATTATAATCAGATTATCGTGTTTCGGGAAGAGAAAGCCGTGCTACAACTCCGCTGCGTACTCAGCCTTCTGGTAATTGCGATGTTTCAATTTGTAATGGCATAACAGCAAAACTGATCAATATTTTTATTTATTTATTTTCTTTTATTTTTTTATTTTGTTATTACGACGCATGCATTGGATAGTAATTGTAATACTTGTTTGATAGAACTTAATTTTTTATGTGTCCATGAAGTTCAAATTATTGAGTGGATGTCAATAATTTTAATTGACCAAACCCAGATTTGATCTGTGAAATATAAAACGACAATAAAACAGTCTATTACTGCACAAGAAAAATACTATAATCATGAAAAAAACTTGTTTTTTTAATTGCTGTTTTAAAAATTTATCAAGCTTTTACAATCACCTGAAAATATTTCTTTCTTTGCATTATGATCAGATTATCGTGTTTCGGGAAGAGAAAGCCGTGCTACTACTCCGCTGCGTACCCAGCCTTCTGGTAATTGCGATGTTTCAATTTGTAATGGCATAACAGCAAAACTGAAGAATATTTTTATTTTTTTATTTTATTTTATTTTTTATTTTTTTATTACAACGCATGCATTGGATAGTAATTGTAATACCTGTTTGATAGAATTTAATTTTTTATACGTGTCCATGAAGTTCAAATTATTGAGTGGATGTCAATAATTTTAATTGACCAGACCCAGATTTGATCTGTGAAATATAAAATGACAATAAAACAGACTATTACTGCACAAGAAAGATATTATAAATCATGAAAAAACTTTAAATTGATGTTTTAAAAAATATGTCAAGCTTTTACAATTAACTGGAAATATTTCACTCTTTGTATTACAATCAGATTATCGTGCTTCGGGAAGAGAAAGCCGAGCTACAACTCCACTGCGTACTCAGCCTTCTGGTATTTGTGATTTTTTATTTTTTACTGACACAAAAATCGATGACTGATAGTTGTATTTTTTTATTAATTGCAACGCACGCGCTGGAAGAGCAATAATAATGCCTGTTTAAACAGGATTTAATTTTTTCTATTTCTCTTTGACAGAAATATATAAGTAATAATAACAATAATAATAATATAAAAATATTGTATATAATTTTCCACAAATACAAGACATAAAAATTGATTGTTTTAAATGACAAATTACATTGAATTTATGATGTATTCCAATATAAAAAAATAAAAATCTGTAAAATAAATATCATTGATTAAGACATTAAAATTATTTTCAGCTCTGAATTTAATTATCATATTTGACTGAACTGCACGAGTAAAATTTAACACAGTTTGTCTGGATGTCACCTGAAATACAAACTCTGTGACATATTGATCTTTACTTATTTTATTTATTACTTCTTACCATTTAACATGATAATGATTTTTTTTTAAATGGCCTAATGAACTTTGCACATTAGCCAAGGTTCATTGTGCGATGATGGGATTCGAATAGAGCCTTCATCACCATTAATTTTTTTAATTAATGCTGGTCACGCTGGTCAGTCACAATACATTAAAATAAAAAATAATAAACAGTTTTCCTGATTTTTTTCAATATCCAAGGTGGAGAGCAGTTTAATAGCTAAAACTTGTTATAACACTGGCGGTTAAACAAAATTCTAGTCTATTAATTACCTGAGGGGCTCCGTCCAATCCCTGGTTGATACATAGCATCAAATGATGAGGCATCCACATTGTTTTAGACACGATAATTCTCAAAACATAAAATAAAAGGAAAAACTGAAGTAAAATGGTTGTTGGAGGTTAGTTAACTAGTGGACGGTATGGAAGCGATACAGAAGTGAACAATAAGTAAAGAAGACAGGATACAGGACTAGATAAAAACAAGAAGGATTGTGATCTGAGAGCAGAACTAAGATACGATTACCTAGATGAGGATTTTAGATTAGTGGCATTTGGAGGAAAAACTAAATAATTCTAATTTTAGATATTTAGCGCAATGATACCGCCCACCAAAATTATAATAATTTTCCACCATCAAGTTTTATTTGCAACATTTACATGTACAGAGGCATATTATTCCTTAAATATGCCTGGTAGCAGGACAAGGCCAACTAACGAGATGGAATATGTTCTGAAGCAAAGAGGACAATGGACACCAGAGGAATTTTATCAGCTCCAGGAAGCAATTTAACTATTTGGCCTACCGACCATGACAAGGAATTAGATAGGACCTTTTAAAAAAACTAAATCACCTTCTTTAGGCAGAGTTGGCTGGGCCAGTGGTTCAGATACTCTTCACTCCAATGTCGCCAAAAGTATTGAAGCTGTCCACCAAGTTTTAAGGGTTTCATTTTCGGGGAGGTTCAGGAGGCAATAATAAAGAGTCACCGGTTAAGAAATGTCTGGGTATCAAGAAATGAGTGGCTTCAGAGTGGCCAGTTAAGTGCTGGCACAGTGGACAACTATTTACGACAGAATAGCTTCCATTCGGTGACTGTGATATTAAGACAACCAATGAGACCACCAATGTGTCTGGAGGGGCGTCGGTGGCCGCAGCGGTTTAGGCGTTCACATCACTGTATGTTGAACCCAACGTACTTACAATTTTTTTTTTTCAAAAACACCGGCACCCTGAGGGTTTATATGCCTCTGCTGTTGTGAACCCTGCGGAAAAAAAAAGTTTACACTATATTAAAACAGTACTCGTACTACATTGTGATTTTTCATTATTGTCACCATTAATCTTTATGAACTACAATTTTCATTTAATTATTTTCTTTATTGTTTAGATTTTAAATGCTTAGATCATTTGTCTTCATTTTAACTTTGATTAATAAATCAGAAAATCGCCAAAATATTAGTTATTAATTCATGGTGTTCTTAATCATTTTGATTCTTTTTGGTCAATAGCAAAATTGTTATTTAAGGCAATATAGAAATATTTATTCTCTTCTTAAACTTTAGTTCCAAACTTTGTTGTTCCATGTTTTTATTTGCTGCTTCAACCTTGAAAGAATGCTGCAATGTGTTCTAAGCACTCTTTAGTGCATTAAGCAACTTAGAGAAAGAACTGTGTAAAATAAAGGATATAATAAGGATAAGAAAATTCAGCTTTTATATGAAGCACAGTAATATCAGATCTGGTCGAACAATATCAATTATCAAATTCGTCAAAGTACAATTATTTTAGTATTTTTAAGTTACTGGGACTAATTAAGAACATAGGCAGTTTGGAAGGGAAAAGTTATCACGAGATTGATAGACTGCCATTAGGCAATAATTAAGCTTGTATCACTATGTTTAAGGATTATGAAGCAAATTTGATTAATTAATTAGTTGTTTAATTGTGCACGAGTAAATAATCATTGTTGAAAGGACTGTCCATACTGTACAACTGATCATGCATGTCAGTTTGTATATGTTAAAAAAAGTGACATATAGCTCATTTTATATTATTTTTTATTTATTTTCACAATATAATAAATTAATTTGGTTCAGGGTCTAGTTCATTGAGTGGAGGCAGCAGCTCAGGAGTCGGAGAGAAGGATGGGGCAGCTCTAAGCTCGTGGGCCCGCTACCTCAAGAACAAATACGGAGTTAGGGGCAAAGAAGGAGGAGCATGTTCGAGCGTTGCAAATTCACGGAGGCTATCGCTAGGATTACCCCTGAGGACTGATTCAGATGAGGACCAAAAAAACTCGCCCGCCTCCCCCACTTCACCCACTCAACACCCTCTACATCAAGGTAAACTAACAATATTAATTTTGTGATAAATTTGTTCTCTTTTTTGGTTTTTTCAGGTTTCGCAGTCGGGTCCAGTACTAGAGGACAATACGCTGCAAAACGTAGACAGGTGTTCAGTGTGGGAAGTAGGGGGAGTGAACCCGGCTGCTTTACATGGCCCAGGGGGGTTGCCACCGGCCCGGAAAACTCCATCGTTGTCGCAGATTCTTCAAATCACAGAGTCCAGGTAACTGGCAGCCTGTAAATACAAAGTGCTTGATTATAAAAGCGGCCTTTTTTAGATTTTCGACTCCAATGGAATTTTCCAAAAGGAATTTGGAAGCTACGGTAACGGTGAAGGAGAGTTCGACTGCCTCGCCGGTGTCGCGGTCAACAGGATAGGACAGTTTATTATTGCTGATAGATACAACCATAGGATTCAAGTAAGACAAATAATATATGTAATTTTTAGTTTTTATAAAAAAGTACATTATAAAATTGTTTGTACAGATGGAAATTTTGAATATACAGTCTACATCTTGATCAAATTTCGTTAAATAGATAGCAAGATGTATACTAGAAGTATGGTGTACATACAATGACTAAATGTCCTAAATTTTCAAATAAAGATATTTCTTAAGCAATATTAAAGTTTAAATTTTGTGATTGTAGGTCATGGATCCATCGGGGAGATTCCTTAGAGCTTTCGGTTCTCAAGGCACTGCAGACGGCAAGTTCAACTATCCTTGGGGTGTTACCACCGACGCCCTCGGTTTTATATATGTCTGCGACAAGGAGAATCACCGAGTCCAGGCAAGTCAAGACGAAAACGCACGGACCCCCTTCCAACCAAACTAACAGGCAATTTACATTGCAGGTTTTCCAATCTGATGGTACTTTCGTTGGTAAATTCGGCTCGCACGGGTCGAAAATAGGCCAGTTGGACCATCCGCACTACATAGCTGTTTCAAACACAAACAGGGTAATCGTTTCTGATTCAAATAACCACCGGATACAGATTTTCGACGTGAATGGCCGAGTGCTTTCGACCTTTGGCCAGGAGGGATCCGAAGATGGACAGTTTAAATTCCCAAGGTAAGGACAAAATTATTATTGTTATTGTTTTTAAAGTGTATTGTTATAAATCACTTGTTTTGTATATGTAAATATAAATATTTTTATTTTCATTGAAGCATTCGATTTTAGAGGGGTGTTCAAAAATGATCACAGTCAAAATTGTCCATCCTTCTGATGCTTAAAAATGTAAATTAACAGTTGTCAATTGTCTTTTCAATATGGACGTCATTTTAATAAAAGCTTTTGTGGAGAAAGTGTGTGAAAGTGAGGATCAAAGCATTAACCCGCTTATAACTAAAACCAAGCTAGTAATAGGTCATTATTTTATAAATAATGTTGTTTTCTTGCCACATTTTTTTTTCATAACTATACTTTAAATTGAATGAGAGTCAAATAAAACGTTTAAGATATGGTAATATTGATATTGAAACCAGGTAAGTACAACAAAATAAATCCAAATTTTTTGCATATTTTATCTTTCAATTCTTACTACAAGTATATAAAAGTAAAAAGACAAAGTTATGTCCATGGTACCATTAATTAAACTTTAATGTTACAGTTTAATAAATGCAATAGTTAATCTGTCACAATAGCCATTCATTCGGTTTTATTAAAACTTAACTGACAACTATTGTATAGTAGATCAAAATTTATTGCTAATTAAATACTTGGTTGAACAGATATTACGTCCGCTTAGTTTATATTCGTTAAGCGACAGAATATTAAACCTCATGTTTATGCTCTACTGTCAAACAGCCATAACTTTACATTTCGCATAAGATTATAGCCGGAGGATGAAAATTGAATCCTATGTCAATACGGCACGGCAAGGATCATGAGGAAAAGGAAATGAACCGTCATTAACTATTAAAGAACCGACTTCGTCGAACCCTTTACATTATGTAGAGCGGAATCGTTTACAATAAACCGCTTCCTGAGAAGGAAATAGGCACTTCCATCCAATGCTCTTTTAACTAGGACTGCTACATCAGTGTTGATGTTCGAAAGCAATGACATTTGATTCAAAAACGACGTTAGATGTTTTTTAAACATCGAAGTTTTTGTTAGATGGTTTTTTACACTTCAACTTCCTTGTTAGATTTTTCACTATCAGTGTGCTTGAAAATTGTATTATAGCGTCAGCTTTATCTTTCTTGGTATTTGGTATTTTTGAAGGGTTAAGTTGGTGATTTTTATTGTTACGGTCGGTCGGTAACCTGTAATCTTTTCCAAATTTGTTGGCCTGCCTACCGCCGCTGTTTATTTTGGCCATGTTTCGTCTTCTCGGCGACTTCAACAGCGCGGTTGTATGTCCACCTCTCCCTGTTTACTATCCTTGATGCTATATATACATTACGCAGGGTGGGCGACCAAGACCCGAGGGTAGACTCGTACCCCATTCCTAAAACGTCCGGGATTCGGTCGGCTCACGTGTCCTATATATCCGTGATGCTACCCACTGGAGATGGCGAAATGGTTGTTTCCCTGTACGGGTTTGAACGCCTAAAAGACGATGAGGTTCTTTTTCGTTCGGGAAAAACGCTCCAATCATTAAGGATCAATACATAATTCTTTCCCACTTGACTTTTCTGAAGGATGAATCACCATTAATGCACCTGACCAGCGCCGCACCACGAGAAGGAAAAAGGGGTACTCCATACGATAGAATTGGCCATTCCATTACTCCCGAGTGGAGGGGCTCTTCCAGCTAAGAGCTTCCGAACAGGCCGGCACTTGCTTTCAATTAAAGTGGAATGCTATAGCTAAACATCATAAACAGCATCACTTGAACAACAGCATCAAACCCTAATTACCGACAAGGAGTCTCACACATCAAGCCACGTATCCAAACCCAAGTACAAGCTATGGTCATGGAAATTGCTTGCGCCTGTAGTTCAGTCGGTCATGCTCCGTCCCTCATCTTTCAGACAGGATCTGGTTCACTGATCTACCTGATCTCGCACACGTAGTTCGTCCACTGAAGATTTCTTTCGCCAGTATACGAAGACTGTTTGTGCTTTAGAGAATTTGCCACGCTCTCTGAGCTGCAGCATTATTTTGCTCCTGGAAAACCCCCTTGTAACCAAGGTTGAGACGCGTGACTCAGGAATAATCATAGGACGCAATAGATTGAGAAAGGATTATCTGCGAGTATAAAGCTAACCTTTTCAGGTTGCTCCCCACACCAAGGGTTATTATATATACCATTCAATGTCTTCGTGCTCCCCAAAATGAAAAGGGATACGGGTTCTCTGGGTCGATAAAAGAGGTTGGAGAGCGTCGAGTTCAATCCGCCTATTCAAGCGTCGAACGCATCGTCCGCCCAACTTTTCAGGTTGCGCACCACATCCTGGGTCCTATTTTCCCTCCGATTCACTTCTCCACTTCGTATATTTACGGAAGAGGCTATCAGTCTCCCCCACTAATTGGGAAACTGGTGGTTCCGGCAGTTTGCAAGCTCATCCCTTCGGGTTGCGCCAAAATCGGCCAAGAAATCCACCCGCCCCCAGTAAGTATTTGCTACACCTTCACAGGGGTACGTTGCCTCTTTTAGTCATGAAGGCAAGAGGTCGTATAAGAACAGGAGAGTTTATGTAAATGGTCCGTATCACTTGTCTTCACCCCTAGCCGATGTACACTTTCTGCTCTTGTCCGATGCTGGCGAGGGACTTACGATGATCGAATGCACCTGGTGACAGAGCGAAATGCCGAAGCGCGTCTGACAGACCAAAATGATTGGTAACGACCAAATTTCAGATTCATCACTCCGCAGACGACATGAGAAATCTCATGAGTGAGGTTTTAATTAGTTGATTATTCAATAACTATGTTTTTGAATCCTTGCTGTTGTTCTAACATTTAAGTTTTTTTCTACATCCTTGCTAGATTTCTCCATAGACTATTTCTACTTCGAATTTCTGACTATTTTTATGTCAGCATAGATATTTAATATGATTTTTTTAAATCCTTGTTAGTTTTTTAAACATCTATGTTGTTTTCTTATCGATGATTTCGATTATACATGCATGTACATTGCTTATATATTATTCTCAACATTTCTGATACTTGTTTTTTCAGCCATTGATGTTTTAGTTAGACGATTATTCAAAATCGACGTTTTTCAAACATCATTTTTGGTTCTTCAACATTGTTGATTTGGAAATCTCCTTGACTGTTTTTTCTACCACTTTTTTATTTTTTATTATTTGTGAAGGGCGCAATAACAAACTAGGGTTATCATTGCCTTTATTTGTCTTCGAGCAAACATACATCCTTTCAAAAAACATTTTTGTAAAATGTTTTATTAAATATCGATATGTTAATTTGATTTCTAATGTTATAAAAAAATTTATAGAATTTAACCCTTATCAGCAATATTTTACTTTAAATGTGGGATTTTCTAATGGGGTTAACTCCTTGGATTATCAAGACTTATTGGGGGTTACTCGTTAATTTACTGTAATATCGTTAGTTACGAACATCGAGTGTGTAAACAGCTACGTACAACCTACTAATTGAGGAGATTTGTTTCAAAACCGGCTCAATCCATTTCAAAAACTTTTTACACGAGATACAAAAACGTTTTGGAGCCATGGATTATCGTTTAGATGTTTTTTAAATTAATTTTTATTGGGAAAAAGGAACCTCTCCAAACATTTAAAGTATAGTTTTCAATATTGTATTATTTCTACGTTGCCAAAAATTTCAATTTCGAAAAAAAATTACACGGGATACAAAAACGTTTTGGAGCCATGCATTATCGTTGACTTTTTTTTATTAATTTTGATTTAAAAAAAACTACAAACGTTTAAAGTATAGTTTTCAATATTGTATTATTTCTACGTTGCCAAAAATTTCAATTTCGAAAAAATTTTACACGAGATACAAAAACGTTTTGGAGCCATGCGTTATCGTTTAGACTTTTTTGTTAATCTTTATTGGGAAAAAAACCACTCCAAACATTTAGTTTCGAAAAATTTTTACACGAGATACAATAACGTTTTGGAGCATTATCGTTTACTTTTTTTATTAATTTTTATTTTTAAAAAAACTACAAACGTTTAAAGTATAGTTTTCAATATTAATCTTATTAATTGTCAACAATAATTATAAATAATTAAATTGGGGGCGTCGGTGTCCGCAACGGTTTAGACGTTGACACGGCGCTCATCACTGTAAGGTAAAGGTCCCGGGTTCGAATCCAGCGGCCCTGCATTCGAACCCGACATACTTACAAATGAACATTTTTCAAAAACACCGGGAACCCTCGTAAAAAAACAAAAAAAACCCCGTAAGTTGGGAAGCATTTTTATGCTGGTTTGAGTAACTTTTGTTCAAAGCGTGCTAGTTGTAATGAATTGAAGAACTTGTGAAAACTAAAAAAAAATTGTTTTGCTAAAAATGTGAATTAAGCCAGTTTTGAAACTAATCCCTTAAATTACAATAGTTATTCAGCAGTATGTCCCTTTTTACGGTATCCTCTTCTGTAACAACCGAAATGAAAATTGATAAATATGGTGTTTTTTTTTTGTTTTTTTTTTAATTGCAGTTTTATTATTTCATCTCTAAAATATCGACGATTTGATTTATAACGATTTATCGTCGTAGATTTAATTCCGTTAAAATCCAACTATTATGGCAGAACAGCAGTTAACAATTTTCCACCAGAGATTTTCGATTTAAAAAAATGTTGCGCGTTTGTTCGTTTCAAATCTAATCTTTTTTAATATTTTAATATTAAAAATTTAGGCTGTCGAGGAAAAAATATTTTTTCATAAGCCTAAAAGTTGTTAGGGTGTAAAAAATATCCAACAAATATTATTATACGTCGATATTGTGTGATTACCGGGTTTTGTTTATTAAGAGAAAATTATGAGTTTTTGAACACCCCTCGTACGTTAAAAAAAAATAATTCGCGGCAATTAGGACGAGTTGGAATGAGTGATGAGATTTTGTGTTGAGTAGTTGCAAAAGGCCGTACGAAAGGAGTTTGTCTGGTCCCGTACCATCAACCTCGTCCTCACAGATTGACGATCGGCCAATTTTGAATAGATCGTTTTCGATCACAACACCCGTTACCCACTCGGATTCCACGACGATAGACTCGCTATTGCACAGGTCTCCGTCTCCTCCAGGCCCAAGGGTAAATAGGTCGTTGTCACTGACCACACCTCAACCAACTCCCAAATCCTGGATTGCCAGGTCGAATTCAATCGAAGGGACCCGCCTCCTCTCAGTAAGTCTAACCGTATATCGGTTTCAAGTTGAAATTGAAGCTGGCTTGCCCCCAGTCGGGAACCTTGTAGACTGTTTTTGCTGTTGCTGTTGTTTGTGAGTTTTGAAATTGAATGTTTTGTTTTGAGGTTTTATCGACTGTGGGTCCTCTTCGCACAATGCTTGTCATCAATGGTTTGGTCTTTTCTTAGATATACATGAAAGTACGAGCAATGTGTTGTTAATAATAGCATTTGGAGTGGAGTTGAATTTTTTTTTTCTGGAGTTTTCGATTGCTTGGACCCTTCGCTTTTCAAACATTACTCCCAAAAAATCATAAAATTAAATTCATTACTTCAGGCTACGCAAAGTGTTCTGCTTTTATTCCCTATGTTCATGACAATCATGACTAAATATAAAAATAAAATAGCGTGCATAAGGTTTATTGAGGGGAGGCTAAAATAGACTGGTGAACAGTTAGGTACCCAGATTGAGCAAACATATTTTCGTTTCAACTTTGAGACTTTATCAACTTAGGAATCATTTCTTCCACCATTACATTCAAATAGTATTTAAGATAAGAGAGCAGAAGTAAAAACCACTGAACCTCCAAGGCTAACGATTATTTTTTCTTTTCTTTATTTACCAAGACATTCCAATCAAAATTATAAAACTAGGTTTTAACTAACATAGTTGTATTCTAGAAATTTTTGGGGGAGGGAAAAACACTAGTGATTTAATTTTCAATATTTCTTTCATTTTATTTATACGAACGTTGTACAATCTTGTTAGAATAAATTAATTAGTTTATTACTATTATTATTAATTTTATGGGCGTTTTAACGGCTAAGGTCATTTCACGCCCTAACATCCCAAACATTCTATCTTTAATACATGTTAATCTCCAATATTTTCTTTCATACGCATGGGGTCAAAGTAATATGCTTATAACAGAATAGTCATAATCAAACAATTTTCTTATGGCAGTACTTACGATTTATGAGGATGAAATAGTTTCTATTGAGAAAGGGGCAAAATACAATGAGTTGGGCTAAATTCCAAGCATTAAGGAGGAGATACTCGCTTCCCAATCAACGGGGTTAGGCTCCAAAGGGGGCGATTTCGACAGCTAGGTCATTTCATTTCTCTAACTTTTATACAGTCGCGCAAATAAATACGTTCACATCTTTGTACATCACACACATTCTGATTAGTCGATGGAGTACTCGGTATTCCCTCATCGACCTCGCACAATATTTAAATTCTAATCTAAATTCGTGTCGTTGGGGAACTTATATAAATATTCAACCATCACCCTAAACACACTGACTGCTGGATATTTCACTATCAGAAGCTCACCACACTAATAAATACACTCACTCAAACAAAACACATAACTATGAAAAACATAAAGCAAATCTATATACAATTAAAAAACCACATTCTCCAAAGTGCGGAAAAGGGGACCTAGAAACTCACAACTATGCCCTAGAGCCGTTCTCAAATTCGGCGGCATGCCTACACTCTCTCTGTAAGGAGCCAAGTCATAACAAGCTTCTATTATGTCGGGCTTTAGCTACCTGTATGTTAGGGGTTTGGTCCAGGAGCTGGTGCCCTTAGGTCAACCGCGTATGACCTATTCTTAAACGAGCAAGGACAATTCCTCGTTTCTAGCCTCAAGCATTAAGGTTGAAAAACTATAAAATGCACGGAAATAATTATATGGATAATTACTATAGTTTATCTTAATTTTACAAGATTCATATAAGAATCTTACATGATTCGAAGTTTGTTGCTTTTTAATTTATTTTGGAAAAATTTGATGATGTGTCATGTAGTCAAATAGTTGTTTTGTATTTATTTGTCTTCATGGAAATCGTGGTAAGACAAACAAAAAAGAACGTTTCTTATTTATTCTTCCAAATTTGTCTGCAATAGTCTTATTCGAACGTTGAAAGAAAAACTAATATAAAAAATAAACACTGATATAAAAATAAGCAATAATATTAACTTTAGTGTTTTTCTTCAGACAGTTCTTTTTTTAAATATTATTGGTAATATACAACAATATTAATTTTAATGTTTTTCTTCAGACAGTTCTTTTTTTTAAATTATTGTAATACGCAACAATATTAACTTTGGTGTTTTTCTTCAGACAGTTCTTTTTTTAAATATTATTGTAATATACAAGAATGTTCACTTTAGTGATTTTCTTCAGACAGTTCTTTTTTTAAATATTGTTATATATACGATTCGGACTAAACGACATAAGAAAATAATAATGGTCAATAACAATATCAAATTTTCATTGACATCGTATTTTAGCAATTAGTAATAAAACAACTTTGCTCGATGTGTCCCACATAATCGAAGTGTGTTGTGCCTTGGCTCCCTACAGGGCGCGAGTAGGCATGCCGTCATATTTAAAAGGAGTTCTCGGACACAACAGAGAATTTCAGGGTTCCACTATTTAAGGGAATTGGGAATCTTTTTAATGTACATAGAAGTTAAATTATGAATTTTGTGTTTCTGGGTATTGTATGAGTGAATATATTTATTAGTGTGAATGGGGAAGGTCTGATGGTGAAGTAGGTAGCTCCATCGCCCTCAGGTTGTGTGTATGACTTGGATTGATGGCGGAAATTTTATACAAATACCCCATCGACCCCAATTTAAATTAATTTATTGTAGTGAACAGGTAGATGGAGGAATATCGAGTACTCGATGTACCAAACAGAATGAATGCGATCAATGATATAGGTGAGATTGAGTGTGTGTTGCGGTATTTTACTTCCGCTCGGGGCTGAAATGACCTAGCTGTCAGATGCGAAAAGATAAATAAAATAAAAAATAAAGATCAGGTTTTTAAAATAAATTTTTGTAGTGATACAAACCTTCTCAAGCAATCTAAACAATAGGGGGAAAATATAGGATTTTTGCGTAGCCTGATATATCCACTTTCCTCAAACTGTATATATATGTTTAAATGTTGATTTACACTTGTAATTACTATAAAGTGTCTAGTTCGTCTGCACTAATTAAAACTTTTCCAACCTATCGCCTATTGACATTATTAGAGTGTTTTCTTCTATTTTCCTTATAAATATAATTTAAATTAAAATTGTTCGTTGTTTTTTAGGGGGGTAGCAGTGGACGATCAGGGCTATATCCTGGTGGGAGATTCTGGGAACAACAGAATTCAGATCTTCACGTCGGAGGGGGGTTTCATCCGAGCGTTCGGGTGCTGGGGGAGCGGCGAAGGGGAGTTCAAAGGGTTGGAAGGGGTGGCTGTCATGTCCAACTCGAACATACTCGTCTGCGACAGGGAAAATCACCGAATACAAGTGTTTTAGCGTAAGTTTAAGGAGAGGAGACATTTTGACAAAGACTAAACGTTTTTTGTTTCAGGAAACGGCATTCCTTCGGATCTTCCGACGTGCACGTGTTCGATCCAGTCGTATCCAAGAAGATAATGATGGAAGCGACAGTTCCTCTGATCAGTTACCGGCCTCAGACCAAATCAACTACTTTTCCCTATTCGTCGTCCAGTTTTTCAAGAGCACACATAACATGAACGCTTCTAGTAAAATCAGCCAATCAGAGCAAGCAGGAACAGAGGAACGAAACAGCATTTAACTCGAGACTGTCCCCTTGTAGAAAAAATAATAAATAAATTACAATGTTGGCTCAAGTAAAATTTAAAGAAGATATTTGGACGGCCATCTCCGGGATTTGCTGGTACGAAACCTCGGACGACTGTGCCGCAGAAAGAACACGGTTGATTTTATTATTAGATTTCAAAAATATTTCCGATTTCGACTGTGAACAAACATTGACTCCAGTTACTTAAACTTTCTAGTCATTTAGCTAATTTATTTCCCGATAAAAACAGACAATGATAACGATTTTAAAAAATTGAAACGATTGATACTTTTTGTTTGCTCTGGCTAATGAGTTGTGTTTTGTATTTCTAATGTTAAATATTGTAATAAATTTAATGTAGTTAGATGAAAATAAAACGGAAATAAATAATTTTTTTAGATCAGTCACGCCTCCCACGTACGAAAAGCAAACATAGTGATCCACTATATTTCGTGGTCCGATTGGCCAAATAACTTGTTTCAATTAATTAATATTTATGTGAGGTATTGGTTGAAATGAAAAAGTTAGTGTCACGAGCGGGATTCGAACCCACGACCTTCAGCTAAAGGAAAAGTGGATCGAAGTCACGAAAGCTCGAGTGGTAGATCAGCGGCGTATTTAGCCGAAGGTCGTAGGTTCGAATCCCGCTCGTGACTCTATCTTTTTCATTTCAGCCAATACCTTGCAGAAATATTAATTAATTGATGGTGATATAATATAAACTAAAGCAGTGGATAAACTTAATTGGACGCCGGATAAGAAATAAGAAATAAACGTACTTTAAGCCATTAAGTCTATTTGTTTAATTTCAAATATTATGAGTGTAATTTATAATTTCCTTCATCTTTTGTTAATTCTGGCATGAGTCATTGATATAAATCATGTTGAATAAGGTAAGAACAGTCCAAATTTGAAAAAAAAAAAAAAAACTACTTGTCATCGGGAGCAATTTCAACCCACATTTTTTAATTGGGATTATTATGAAAATAATTTAATAAGTAATTCTATATTTATGTTCAATGTGGCCTAATTAACTAGTTTATTTATTTATTTTTTAAAGAGCCGGTAAACTACATCGGTAATACCCATCCCTCTCTCTTTCTCTCTCTCACTCTCTCTCTCTCTCCCTCTCTCTCACTCTCTCGCTCTCTCTCTCTCTCTCTTTCTCATATTATAATTAAAATAATTGAATAATTGCTTTTATATTTATGTTCATTGTGGCGTAATTAACTAATTATGGCAATACAGAGGTTGACTAAGGAGAGTACTGTTCATATTTGGTAAATATGATTGATCATTAACAATCCGTTAAATTTCAATTACTATGGATATTTATGTATGTAGGCATTAATAACTAGTTATGATTGCTGATAACTACCTGGTCATAAAAAAATCAATTTATTCCTCCTCCCAATTTATTGGACTTAATGTATTATGATTGTAATTTAGAATTTATTTCATATTCACGCTAATTGTGGTATAACTAATAATTTATTGCAGTACAATTGGTAGACTAAGAAGTGTACTGTTTATATTTGCTAAAACTGATTGGTCATTAGCAATCCAGATCCAAATCTGTTTAATTTCAATTACCATACTATAGATATTTATGGACGTATGCATAAATGATAGTGTGTGTGGTGGTTAGTGACCGTTAATCGATAATTATTCAGAAATCGTGAGATGCGTCTGGTGTGATGTAGGTTTCAGAAAAACATTTTCTTTATCGTGCCAACGTTTCGATCTTTATTGAGATCATCTTCAGGGC